TTGAGTACGAAATCCGCGGCAGTTCAATACTTACAAGGCGTCGACAAGAAACATCGAGTTAAATACAAGTATCTTGTGCACTTCATGTTACCGACATATGATGAGACTACGTTTAACCTAACCGAGCAAGCCAACAACTGGGGCGGCAGTGAATGTCGGAGCGCTAAACCACTTGGCGCGTTCGCGCTCTACTTTCGTTAGCTGATCGAACTGGTGTCGCACGACGACAGATGGGGATGAACTAGTTGACCAAATACCCTGGATGCGCACTTGTACCTCTTCTATCTAGTGAGCGTTCCCGTCTTAAGGTTGCTGCTGAACATTGCAGCGTGACTCCTTGCATGGAAGGCGCGTACAATGTCCGGTTTTTGGGAAATCGTAACGACCTGGATTTACCCACCCCTGGCGCTTTGTGGGCCTTCCGTCGCAAGAGTGTACATGCGGAAACTGGCAAGACAAAAAAATTTCATGCAATCATGCTGTTGCGGACGCAGTGAAAGAAGGCCAGTCTCTCGACACCCTGTACGATGGCTAGCGACTTTGGATTGATTATTGTCTTGAATCCTATATGGCCGCGTTTCAACCCTGGCCTACTGACATCACACTTCAACGTGATGTTAGTTAGTTTTTTTCCGGTCATAAACGCATCTATACTGCTATAACTGACTTCATCTAAGACAGTATTCCAAATCGTTTATCTTAAGTCTAGTACACTTTCGACGTATCTGAGCGATTTCGAACATTAGCAAATCTGACCTTTTCAGTGCGTAGAATGCTGATGTATCATTTATGCGTTAAGAACAAAAAATATTGAACAATAATATCTATCTTCCGTAACTATTGTGAAACCTCTGGGTAGCGGGGATCTGCAACCTTGGGCTAATTGATGGTTGCTAGCGCATTCGCCTGGTTCAATTTGTCCGGACCAGTCACCCGAACAGCGTTACGAGCCAGACTAACACCCATGGAATTGTCCTCGTCATCCTTTTCCTCTTCCTCACCCCACCACCCAACCTTGTCGAGCTGTTTCGTAATGTACTGCACCTTGCTTAATTGCCGACTCATCTCTTTCTTCTTCTCACCTTGCTTTGCGATGATCTTTGGACCACACGAGCTTTTGCGCCGAAGTGCAGCTTTAACTTGTAGGAAGAGCTTAACGTCGTGTTCGTCTTGCAGCATTTTGGCCGTCCTGGCTTAGTACTCTTCCTATTGGCAGTTTAAAAATGAATACACAATTTTTTATCACTTGTAACCAACCCCTAGATATATGTAGTACATTCGTTTTCCTGAATTTTTTCTTAAAATTTGAGTGTAACACAGTAGTAATGATATAATTAAGTACTGATCTCAGCGCTTGTAACTCTACATACTATTTTTCTCAAACCTTAGTGCTTAAGGTTGACTTATGCAAATTCCTCGGTAGAGTTGCACAGACAATACAGATGTATTACACAACAAAACAAGCGATCAGTACAGATATTTCTGGATCAGCATATATACGTGTCACATGGAGTATATGCACATATCCTAGAGAGAATAGCACAAAAATCTCGCTAGATTATGTGAATTTCAGTACAATAAAGAAGCATACCTACATTAGGTGCCCCGTTCCAAAACCATTCATTCAAGAGGTGTGGCCCCACACAATTCGAAAGAGTAGAAGCAGCCCAGAGGAGGGGCGACAACCCTGTGGAACGTTGACAGCTTGGTGGAGATGTGACAGCTCTGTAGAGTAGAAACACTCTCTACTGATAATGCCACGCATGATGACAGTCGAGAATTGCTACATTCCGTGGAGTCAGCACAAGCACTGGACGAGGTCAAGGATATTGAATTCTGCTGCAGCCGCGTGAGCCATACAGCTCCATCTCGACGTTGCAAGTTTTGCGAGTGGGGAGTGGAGCGACGATTCAAATGTACCAACAAACCTGTTTGGCTAACGGTTCGTGTAAATATACATGGAAAGTTTGGGGATGCGAAGCCACCGACAAGTGGCACATATACCTCGATCGACTTAGCTATAGGGTTAAATCTTAAGCTACCGAGCCATGTCTTAGAGGTTCATTGAGATATGTACCACAGCAAACCAAATCGAAGAGCTACAGAAATTCTACCGATTGCATTTCTTCCCGTAACCTCTCAAACGTTTACCCCCTCTATCATGAGCCAACCTGCTGTTTATATCAAGATAACATAGAAACCAGGGACATCTGTTGGTGGTGTGGATCTTCGGAGTGCGACTGGGAGATATACGCTGGCGAGCTGCGCGAGACTACCGCACGGTTAATGCGTTCGTTCTCGCGCAAACGACAGGGAAACCACACTGTCCGCGCTATCCTCCGCCGCAAGTATAACTACATGAAAACGGGTGGTATGAGTGGAAGTGCGCCCGAGTGCGTAAAGTGAGGCCTTCTAGCTAACTGGCCGGATACATACAAGATAAAAGTTACCTGTGTTATTATGCGTCTGGGAGCTTTAGATCTGCAACTCTTGTGATCGACCTATTGACACGTTTGCGTGTAAATGCGACAGGGTCTGTCGACGAGCCGCACGCGGCGTCAAGAGCATCGCAGATAGATTTAGATCGTACTTTGAAAACGTCTTGATAGTGGAATGCACTGAAACACTTGACATGGAAGCCCCTCTCGCACTTTGTGCATCCGTACTTCGCTTTCTTGTTGATTCCCCGAATACTACACAGATAACAAGTTAGCTTTCCGTTGCTGTGTGTCGTAGCGTTCGGTGTAATGATGTGGAAAGAAGTATCTGCACCAACCACATCGTCTAGTGCTTTACGCTTCCGTGCCTTTTCACAGCGTAATTTGCGCCGTCTTACACCCTTTTCATTACTCGTCAACACGTCCGCAATACGCCGTTTGAATTCACGAAGTGTAAGAGACGACGTCTTTCTTTTTAAAGTAAGGCAAAAGCATTATGGATTGTCAGGTCCATTAGCCAGGTAAATAGCGTCATATCCAAATGCTTCTCCCGGCTGCGAGATGGGTTAGTTGATCGTAGTTGGTCAACACGATCGACCCCGTTCATGAAGCGATTGTATACTGCTACCACCGTAGGCACCATGAATATTTGGCGATGCAAAACACGGTCGTCTGTCCAGCGTTCATATCGGAAAGAGACCATGGCAGCATTCGACTGCCTCTTGGGACGACCAGTGAAGTGTTCGCGCCGACAGTGTCAACCTAAGATCATAAGAGTAGAAGATGACTACCTTTCTATCCTTAAAAATGATGTAGCCAGATCTTTTGGCATGCACCAGTTCCGAAGCATACTCTGTCTGCAATGCTTGTGCTACACGCTTCTGGGCTTTTTGGTGATCAGCCTCTTTCTTCTTCCACCCAGCTTCAACATCGACTGCTGCAACCAACTCCCAACCGCCACGTTTGTACGCAGCCACGCCCCACCGAAGCCTCCACTGCGGGCTTGTTCCACGTGTCAATCAAGTTGATACGCACAGTACCAATAGTATGCATCTCGTCGTCAGTGAATGTAAGAATTGCATTTGCAAACGTATGCCGCGAGTAAAAATTGTCAGAAACTGTAAGCCGTAGCCGGTAGGAGAGCGTAAAACCTTTGACTGGTGACCCGCCATACTAATCCAGAGCGCCTTAGCCGACTTCATGCTGATTTCAATCTCTGGTCGCGCCAAAATATATGTGAAGACACGTCCTCAGTACGGGAAACAGTTCGGTGTAGCGCTGGGCTGGTCCGGTTGGCAACGTGTTACCCGATGCGTTGTCCCAGAGCGAATGTACGTAAAGTGAATCCCAGCCCACATCAGCGTAAAACGAAGGCCGTACTTGTTTGGTTTTGAAGGCATGTAAGTACTGGCCTTCGAACGCGCTTTCGTTGCTACTGCCATCTCGTCAATAGTACTTACTCCAGTTGGAGAAGCAATAGCTGCAAAGCGCTTCTGAAATGATTGAGCATAGTTCTGCTGTGCCAGAGCGGGTCGCGTATCTTGTCAACTGACGTGTCACTTTCGGCATGGAACTTCAATGCTCCACGAATCTGCTGGAATCCCGTTCCCGCCATCTTTTCTGGGAATGCAGTCTGGCCAAAGAAACGTTTTTCCGACCAGTACTCACTTATATCGCTCAATACACAGATGCTCATTGCAATCTCCAGCCCACAGGAAGCATCAATTTCACTCTTTGCCGGTGCCTCTTGTCCACGAGCAACCATCTCAGCAGACGTCCACGGAATGAAATAGTAAAAAAATAGCAAAAAATACATACATACCATTGTCTTTGTAGGCTCTTGTAACTTGCTGCTCCACCACTATATGCAACCCGCTCTGTACATTCAGCGACTCCATGTATGTCTCCCCCAAAAGTTCTCGGTGTGCTGTCAACGGCGGCGACTCTGGGTACGTCTGCACCAGTACTGTGCACCATGTCTGCGTGGATTTCACGTCCGGCTTCGCTGGTAGCGACCTGCACGCCAGCGCCGCAACTCCACCCTCCGACCACATCGTCACTGCCTTGCTCCACGGCACTAAAGTCTTGCACAATAGCTCCATCGTGCCCTTCGACATCATCATCAGCTACTTTCTGCTCTGTGACCTCGTCGACAGCCCACGTGTCGTCTGCGCTTACCTGCACTCCGTCGTCACCAGCGGCGTACCTCTCCCAGTCCTCGAAGAGGTTCTCTACGGCGATGTCTTCGGGTAGGAACTCTTGCTGCGCCTCCAAAGCCTCCCAACTAGCCATTGCTGTGTTCCGATGCTCTGTGTGACCGTGAGGAACCTGGAACCTGTATGGCGCTTATATCGCAGTTATAAACGCGATTGACCCCAGTTGTTGCCCTAGTAAGGTGTCGCGGTAGAGGTCTATATGGTCCTCTAGCATCTCCTGAGCTGCCCTATCCGATGTCCGAGTTCAATTTCTGCCAAAAAATACCTTTCACTTACACTCTCTTACAGGTCCGCATTGACCTGTAACAGGTCTGGTAGCTAAAGGGTTAAGGACGCATACCTACATTAGGTGCCCCGTTCCAAAACCATTCATTCAAGAGGTGTGGCCCCACACAATTCGAAAGAGTAGAAGCAGCCCAGAGGAGGGGCGACAACCCTGTGGAACGTTGACAGCTTGGTGGAGATGTGACAGCTCTGTAGAGTAGAAACACTCTCTACTGATAATGCCACGCATGATGACAGTCGAGAATTGCTACATTCCGTGGAGTCAGCACAAGCACTGGACGAGGTCAAGGATATTGAATTCTGCTGCAGCCGCGTGAGCCATACAGCTCCATCTCGACGTTGCAAGTTTTGCGAGTGGGGAGTGGAGCGACGATTCAAATGTACCAACAAACCTGTTTGGCTAACGGTTCGTGTAAATATACATGGAAAGTTTGGGGATGCGAAGCCACCGACAAGTGGCACATATACCTCGATTGAAATGATCATATCAGCGCCGACTCGAACGAGTGTGAAGGGACACACATAGCATTGATTACAGAAGTAATAGAAAAATTCATGTTGAAGCAAGATGAATGCTCAATTCCACCTCACTTTATCCTCCGCCATTCGCGCCGATCATTAGATATTAAGACGCCTCCTCGAGGTTATCCAACTATCGAAGAATTTAGCAATCGCGCTAAATACTTGCAGAGACTTCAAGGGAGTAAAACCCAATACAATCGGTAAAGCGACTTGTCCGAGAGCATGCTTTTAGCCCAACAGAGGGTAGAAATCAACCATTCATTTTCGGCTACCAAGACGTCGATAATGGGTATCTTTACGTGGGAAAGGGGACAGACGGCGATTCATACTGCATTGGAATCACTAGCCGAGCTGTTATCAACAGGGGTATTGAGTTTTGCACCGATAGCCGCTTTACCCTGTTCCATGCTGATGCAACGTTTAAATTGAGTGATCTTGGCTACCCAATATTCACCTGCGGACTATCAGATGCGTCCAGAATGTGTAAGCTTGTTGAATTTTTTGTGGTGAGTCGGCGGACAGTCCAAGCGTACGAAATGTGCCAAATTTTCTCGTACTGGTTCTGAAACGCGTCCGCCCGTAAGGAAGTTTTAGATGCCGATGCCGCGATAGGAGATGGAGATGACGCTCCAGTGAATGGATAGGTGGCTGAGTTTGCGTTTTCGACATATCTGATGTGTTTTATCATGCTTTGTATACTGTCAGAAAGCGGGCTAGACATTTACTTTCACAACATTAGCAGAAGTGATTGATGGAATTGGACGGCTTCACTATAACAAAAAAATAGGTTCGTGTTACACTATGAAGCCTGGAGAGTGGTGGACCATACATCAGCTGAATTCTTTTGTAACATCATTTTCAAAGCAATGGCTCGAAAGTTGCTATTGCGTTGGCAAATGTTTCACACACCCTGTGGCTACGCAACCACGAACAATCCGTGCGAGGCCATTAATGCAATTCCGAACACGTATACGGGCGCCTATCACGTGTAGCGTCTCTTCACGGTAACCCTAGGTGTAAATAAAGGCGTGTCTATTAGCTCACCCACCCCGGACAACCAAGCACTTGCATCGAATCGTGAAACTACGTCAGCTGCGTCTGCGCTTATATCAACCGGGTGGATGGAAACTTTCTCAACGAAAAATCACACTTTGTATCGGGTAAAACAGCTGCGAACGACAGACAATTCTCAATTTTAGAAACGTGAGGATCTATGTGAGGCTGTGGATTCTCGTTCCAGGTCAACTGAGGAGGAACGCGACGACGTACCCGATTGCGATCTCCTCGGCCTTTTTTCTCTTGTCCGAGTACAACGAGCTCAAGCTGCTCAACTGTACAAAACGTTGTCACATGGTCACGCCGAGATGCGCGCTTGAATGATATACCGGAAAACGGGTGAATTGTAAATTTGGAAAAGTGTGTTTGTGGGTGCAAATACTATCTGAAGTTCAAGATGTGCTGCCATATAATCATCGGTCGGAAAACGAAGAGATTTAATGCAGTATTACCAAAGTCAGAGCGTGGGTACCAAAGAAAACGAAGGTGAAAAGTTCAAATGACCCACCACCCCGTCAGTCCCGGTGACACTGGTACAATTTCACGGAGGTCGACCGCCTCTAGCTTCGCTCGTCCTGGACGTGCAGTTAATGCTTTTGTGGTGAAGCGCCAGTTGGATTTTGCGAATAAGAAAACTGATTGATGGGAAGTGACACGATCCAGCCCAGAGACTCATGATCGACGACGGTGCGTCAGTGATTACGTCATCATCGGTGAAGATTACGCAATCATCGGAGTGGATCGACATGGTGCAATCATTT